GACTTGGTCAATTATAGACCTATATCCAATCTTCCTTTCTTATCCAAAATTCTTGAGAAAGTAGTTGCCAAACAAGTTTGCGATCACTTCCACCATAATGAACTTTTTGAAGAGTTTCAGTCTGGCTTTAGAGCTCATCATAGCACTGAAACAGCTCTGGTGAAAGTCACTAATGATATTCTCATGGCCTCAGATAATGGACTTGTATCTGTGCTCGTCCTGTTGGATCTTAGTGCTGCATTTGATACAGTTGACCATAATATTCTTTTAGAAAGACTTGAATATTTTGTTGGAATTAAAGGAACAGCACTAGACTGGTTTAAATCTTATCTATCTGATCGAATTCAGTTTGTTCATGTTAATGATAGATCTTCAACACGCTCAAAGGTTACCTGTGGAGTACCACAGGGATCAGTGCTAGGACCAATTCTCTTTACTTTATACATGCTCCCAATTGGTAGAATTATTAGACAGCATGGGATTAATTTCCACTGTTATGCTGATGATACCCAGCTATATCTGTCTATAAATCCAGATGAAGCTAACCCATTACATAGATTACAGGCATGTCTTGAAGACATAAAAACCTGGATGACTCTTAACTTTCTGCTTCTGAATGCAGACAAAACAGAAGTTATAGTCTTTGGACCAGAGTCTCTGAAAAAGAAACTGATTAGCCAGTCACTTCATTTGGATGGGATTAAACTGATTTCAGATAATAAAGTAAAAAATCTTGGTGTTGTTTTTGATCAGGACCTGTCATTTAAATCCCACATCAAAGAGGTTTCTAGAATTTCCTTCTTTCATCTGAGGAACATTGCAAAAATTAGAAATATCCTGTCCAGGGGTGATGCTGAGAAACTAGTCCATGCATTTGTTACTTCAAGGCTGGACTATTGTAATTCTTTACTATCAGGAAGTCCACAAACTGTAGTTAAAAGCCTTCAGCTGATCCAAAATGCTGCAGCCAGAGTTCTAATGAAAATTAAAAAGAGAGATCATATCTCGCCTGTCCTGGCTTCTCTTCATTGGCTTCCTGTTAAATCAAGAATAGAATTTAAAATCCTCCTTCTCACATATAAAGCCTTAAATGGCCAAGCTCCATCTTATATCAGAGATCTGATTGTTCCTTATGTTCCTAACAGAGCACTTCGCTCTCAATCTGCAGGTTTACTAGTGGTTCCTAGAATTTCTAAAAGTAGAATGGGAGGCAGATCTTTTAGTTATCAGGCTCCTCTCCTGTGGAACCAACTACCAGTTTTAGTCCGTGAGGCAGACACCCTGTCTACTTTTAAGGCTAGGCTTAAAACTTTCCTTTTTGATAAAGCTTATAGTTAGAGTGGCTCAGGTTATCCTGAGCTATCTCTATAGTTATGCTGCTATAGGCTTAGACTTTTGGAGGACATAGGGACCCCCATTTCATCATTCTGCTTCATTCTCTCTCTGTTCTCCTATTCTGCAGAATCTGTTAGTTCAATCTCTAACCTTCTGCTCTCTCTGCTTTTCCTCAGAGTAGCTTTGCCTCGTCTGTTCCTGTTTGGCTGTGACGTCATCCTGGAAAGAAACATCAGCTGTGCTGCTTCTATCAACACCCTTGTTTATAGATGTTGGAGATCGGCCTGTTTTCCAGTGTGGTCCTGTTTCTCTGACCGTGACTGAGTGGATGTGCTTTCTTCGTCCTCTGGCATGGGAGCTGCCTTGGAGCTCGTCTGCCTGGCTGTGTGTTTCCTGGACGGGGCCGCCTTTTACAGCTGCTTTTTGTATCTCTGCTTCTGTCTCCTTGAACCCCAGTCGGCCTCGGCAGATGGCCGCTCACACTGAGCCTGGTTCTGCTGGAGGTTTCTTCCTGTTAAAAGGGAGTTTTTCCTCTCCACTGTCGCTACAAGCATGCTTAGTGTGGGGGATTGTATTTGAGTCAATGAGTCAATGCAATCAACTGGTTTTCCTTAGATAGAAAACTTTGTATCAATTTGATCTGGTTGAACTGTAAAGTGCCTTGAGATGACATGTGTTGTGAATTTGGCGCTATATAAATAAACTGAATTGAATTGAATTGAATTAATAATACGCGGAATAAATATGTGCAATAGTAATAGGTGGGCCATGCCTTCGGCATGTGGCCCCCCTAATAATAATACGCGGAATAAATATGTGCAATAGTAATAGGTGGGCCATGCCTTCGGCATGTGGCCCCCCTAATAATACGCGGAATAAATATGTGCAATAGTAATAGGTGGGCCATGCCTTCGGCATGTGGCCCCCCTAATAATACGCGGAATAAATATGTGCAATAGTAATAGGTGGGCCATGCCTTCGGCATGTGGCCCCCCTAATAATACGCGGAATAAATATGTGAGATAGTAGTAGGTGGGCCATGCCTTCGGCATGTGGCCCCCCTAATAATGATCAGATTAAGAGTAGGTCATACTTATTTAAATGACAATTTATACTTAATAGGGAGGAAAAATAATGATAAATGTGAAGGATGTGGAGAGATAGAAAATGTAGAACACGTATTGATGAACTTTAAAACATCTGGACCTGAAAGGTAGAAATTGAAAAGAGTTGAAAGGACAGGCCAAGAATGGAGTCTTAAAGGATTATTGGGAAATAAAGGAAATATAAAAGATATTTATAGATTAAGGAAAGCATTATTTATTTATCTTCAGAATACAAAATTAAAAAATAGAATTTAATAGATGTAAAAAAATGTTGAACAGTAGTTGGCGGTATGCCCGCCCCTTCCCTAGAGCCTGGTGGGAGCGAAAACATTTTGAATGGAAATCAATGGGAGAAATTAATAAACTTCTGGTCCCAGTCGCTCTCTGTCATTGATTCCAGATATGCTGGTTGTGTATTTAAATTTTTTTTTTTTTTTTGAGTTCCTCTTTGGTCAAAATCTGGTCAAAATCCATCAATGGGACCGCACCAAACAGGAAGTTAAATGCACAAAGGATCCGGTAGATTTCCAAATAAAACACATCCAATCTTAACCCATGATCCTTTTTTTAACTAGTTTAATTAGTTTCTCCCGTATGCCACGACGTAATGCATTGATCTGAAAATCAACCTCAGACGCAACGCACGCAGTGGCGAGGGTTTGATCCGTCAGATGGAGTTAAATCACAAAGAATTCAATGTTGAATCGGGGCGGCAGCTAAATGCTAGGCGATGGGTAGCAGCCAAAACGTTGCAATTTCACATAATCCTGACGAGATCCGAAAAGCCGTAGCAAAAACTAGCAAGCGGGTGATTATGTATGTTCACTAAGTAAATATTATGTAAATAAACCCTACACTTCTCGCTATAAATGTAATCAAAACCCATTTAAATGCAGAAACTGATTGAAATTATTGATTTTCCCACTAAAAGTTAGAGAAATCTCAGCCATGTTTATACCAAAACGTTACAGTTTCACATTATCTTGAACAATCTTTGCAAGAAACGAACAAGCAAGTGAATATGTACATTCCCTGAGTAAATATTCTGGCAACAAACTATACATTTCTCACTAGAAATGTAATCAAAACTCATTTTAATGCAAAAACAAAATCGAGTTATTAATCTTTCCACAAAAAAATGAGCGAATGTCGGCCATCTATATTTATTTTTTTCTTCTCCCAGCTGGAATCTTGAAAGTCACGTGACTAGGACGTAAAACAATAGAAAGCGTAAAGGCAGAAGAAATGTAACAGTACCACAAAAAAATGGCCATTAATGTACCTCCACTACGTTTTGCAGTGTGGACCAAAGTAGTGGGGGTACATTTTCCCATGAGACTGGGTTGCTTTCAGCAGCTGTCCAATCAGGTAGCTGCATCTGGCTGCTATAACTGTACCCGATTGGACCAAAAGGAGTCAATGTTGCAGTGATGAATGAATCTGGACATGCAGACAGAACCAGAGCTAGTCCAAAGGCCAGAACCTCTACTTACACAGAAAGTTAGGATGTGGACTCACACCCATTAATTTCAGAGAATCAGGATTTATTTCATCTCTGCTATTTGTTCCTATCAGAGAATCAGTAGCAGCTGAAGCTAGACTCTTCAAACCTGAGAGCATGCTGAACAGGGACTAGGAGGACATGGGGACACGGAGGAGATGGGGAGGACATATTGGGACAAGGAGGATAAAGAGGATGCGGGGACAAGGAGGATGTGGGGGACACTGAATTAGACAAGGAGGCTGAGAGTTGATGGTGCTGTTAGAGCCCACCTTCAATTTTTTAAATGGACCAATCAGAGGCAGCAGAGATGGCTGTGTGACTGGGGATGGAACTGTCCTCTTTTTAATGATCTAAATCTGAAGGAGGACCTTTGGAGAAGGTGCTGCAGTGGTGATGTGTTCTCTGCCATTGTATATTTCTCTGATAAGGAAAGTAAATGTTCAGAGGAAGATTACAATGAGCTATGACAACCTTAAGAACAAATATCACAGTATTATTTCTACAGCTCCAAAGCTTTGAAATGTCTGGAAACACAGATAAGAGTTTGAACTGTGGGCTGATTTTCATCTCTGTAATCACAGTAAGTCTAGATGTCAGTGGAAACTGATTTTAGGTCACGTGTGTCTGTGACTGCTTGCACTGTTTTATTAGATAAAGTGCTAATTATGGCTGATGCACGGACAATTCGCACAGAAAATGAGCCGCCCCTCTGCAGCATTTATTTATATGGATTTTCCTGGAGCGGCGTGTGTATGATGTCATTCGCGCACCGGACTGGAGTTGTGACAGGCAGCCCGGGCCACAGGCGGCTAAGCTCTACCCCTTCTATTCATACTTATTTTATCAAAATAATAATAATAATTTTATCAGTCAAATCAATTGTTGAACTGAATCAACACGCAGAGCGAACTATTAGGAAAGGAACTCCTAATAACACTTTTGTAGATGAATGTTTCCTGAAAGTAATTTCAACCTTAAGGTTGCATCCTCAACAATTATTTCTTCAGTCGACTTGTTGCGATGTATAAACAGACGTCTGATATCTCTGAGGTTTAACAGCATCACCACGTCTCAACTTCCAGAAAAGACATATGTAAAACTGGAGGTAGAGTCTGTAGGAGCTTTACTTGATGTTGAAGATGAGAAGAAGGGGTCTTTTCCACTGAATGGGTCTCCTTGGCATTTTTTACTCGGGAAAGGGTCAACTGCATCAGAAGCGAATGGCTGAAAGGGGTCAAATGTTTTGGAGGGATCTGCTGAGCCAGACAAGCTCACTGGTGTGGTTTTACCTGGAGATAAAGTAAAAAGTTAGATGGATGAAAATAATCCTTCGTTAAATGTAGATATGCCAAATGTCATAATCAGGGAAAACATAAAGTTTATTATGTACTGCCAATTTAAAACAAACATTTTAGGGACTAAGAGGAGAAGACAGAAGCCAAGCAGCTTTGACAGAGGATAAGACAGAGCTGTTAGGATTATTCTGATTGATGATGTGTGAGTCTGTTAAACCCTAATAATACCTGCCTGTTGTGATGTTTTCCCAACTAGTTTATCTAATTAGAACTGCTACTCTGTAAGAAAAACATTCATCCTCATTATGTCATTGGCAAAGATTGAGGAATGAAATGAAAGATGTGTCCTTGATCAAAGAACAAAATAACAGTTTAATGATGTGGCGTAATGACGTAATGATGATGTAATGATGAGGTGTAATGACGGGATGAAGTGGATTTGAATTGATGTGATGATGTATTGATGTGATGATGTAATGAGGTGATGATGTTTTGATGTGATGATGTAATGAAGTGATGATGTAATGATGTAATGAAGTGATGATGTAATGATGTGATGATGTAATGATGTGATGATGTAATGAGGTGATGATGTTTTGATGTGATGATGTAATGAGGTTGCGTAATGAAGTGATGATGTAATGATGTGATGATGTAATGATGTGGCGTTGTAATGAAGTGATGATGTAATGATGTGGCGTTGTAGTGACGTGATGATATGATGATATAATGATGTGGCAGACTGGAGTTGTATAAGATGCTTTTTCACTATGAATCATTGACACTCCAAGGCGATGTGTGTCCGGTTGGTAAGCGCTGCCTTCTGCAAATCTAAGCAACTTCTTTGATCTGAGTGAAATTATAATTTCTGTCTAAATCTCTTGTCATGTCTCCTGGTAATTTAATACATAAACATTATGAAGTTATATAAATGGTTTTTCCTGAGTGATCTCTTTTCGGGAAAAGAACTGCAGAGAAAGAAAGCTTCCGAGCTTTCCTTTAAAGAGGCCTAGAGAAGTAGAGAGCTGGGGAATATTTTCCTGAGGATCGATATAGATTCAAAGAAAGGAAAGCCATGGCTGGAAAAAACAGACCGAGAAGTTCAAGGCAGATCTCCAGCCTCAGAGCAGCTCCTTTAAATGCTTCAAATATTCTTTATTCACTTTTCATTTCACAGCTTTCCTTCTGAAGACTATAGATTTAGATGTAATTAAACCCAAAGGCTATAAGGTGTGTAGACCCAATCCACCAGCACCTTGGGTTTATTGGATGATTAAAGTTTTTTTCCGCCTGGTGGGGTTTATATTTCTCTTCATAAGGAGGAACTCTACGAAGGGGACTGGTTTTTGGAGCCTGCCGTGTGGGACTCACCACTGGGAGGTTTGGGCCTGGGAGGGACGGTCCTTTTTGGAGGCAGAGCAGGCATGTCTGTTTTCCTGATGAATGGGTCGTCTGCAAACACTGGCTGGAACAGAAGACAGGTAGAAATCAATCAAACCCTTTTCTACATTACTGCTAATCATCAAACATGTCTGAAGCCCATTAGTCAACTTATTGAACCAGACATACCGACTGATCTGAAATCACTGTAATCACTTACACCCAGCGGAGATTTTACTTTATTATTGTTATTCAACCAATAAATCTGTTTCTGATAAATCCCTGCAATCAAACCTCATAATAACTATGAAACAATGATATTAGACCAAGGATTCAGCTGTTTTTATTTGCAGTTTATTTCTAAAAGCTCTACAGTAACAGCCATTCAAAAATGGCCGAATGGCAGCCAACTTCCTGCCACTAGAGTGGCCCCCTCCTTTTCCTGGGCGTACAGTTTTTACTCTGACTCCAGCCTTTCACTGAATTACAGGGTCTGACCAGGAGATGGTGCTTCTCTTTAGATCTCAATGTCCACAAATCATGACAGAAAGAATATTTTAGTACAAATATTTATGTTTAAAAAAGGAATCTTAGGGGACCATCCAAGGGCCCATCAAGGACCATCCAAGGGCCCATCAAGGACCATCCAAGGGCCCATCAAGGACAAGCTAAGGACCCATTAAGGACCAGCTAAGGACCCATTAAGGACTAGCTAAGGACCCATTAAGGACTAGCTAAGGACCTGCCAAGGGCCCATCAAGGATCACCCAAGGGCCAGCCAGGGACCAGCCAAGGACCCATCCAGGATCACCCAAGGACCAGCCAAGGGCCCATCCAGGATCACCCAAGGGCCAGCCGAGGACCTGTCAAGGACCAGCCGAGGGCCAGCCAAAGACCAGCCAAGGACCCATCAAGGACCCATTAAGTAAGTGGGGAAATTTTGAATGGCTAATACTGTATGTTAAAAACATTTAAACCCTTTGTTGATAACTGATTAAAAATCGTTCTCCAGACCCCATCTGCTAATTAATCTGAGTATAGCTGTATGTTATTTGTACAATTAATAATTATTTTGAAAACTTTTTGTGTTGAAGGAAAAACGTAAATAAAAAGAGTAGTTTATCTGTTATCAGTGCTTTAAAGAAAAGATATGTATATCAACTTCTCCGTATTTTTCAGGCCACCAGTCAGATGGCTTTAAACTAGGGCTGGGCGATATAGAAAAAAAGCTTATCGATAAAAAAAAATGCATATTGATCGATATTTATCGATCGATAATTATTGAAAAGATTTGAAACCATATTTTAGGTGCAGGTCTGCCTGGACTTTTTATAATATTGCTAAATGATTTAATTTTAATAAAAAACACAAACACAGACTTCGAATTAAATCTTTATTTAACCAACTTTTTTAACCATAACAGAATTGTTTTAAAGAAAAATAACTTAAGAGACCTGAGTTATGTTATTAAATACCGACAAAGAATAAACTAAAGTGACCAGAAAAGTGACCAAAATAAATATAACAAATAAATAAATGCCCCCCCACCGCCGCCGCCGCCCCCGTTTCCTGCTTTAACCTGAGTTATTACTTTGAAGTTTCTGTTCCCTCAGCATTTTTATCTCAATTGTTAGAACTACGTGGGAAACTGCCCAGAACTGAAAATATATATATATTTTCCGAAGATTCCTCGGAGGAGAGCCGCACCGGGGCCTACACAGCTCGTACTCCTGCGGGTGTGAGCGGCTGAGATGATAAAGAAAAAAAAAGTTGGTTGTGTTATCAGACTTCGTTTTCACTGGTTCCCGACACATTTTCCAGATGACTGTGGTTTGTTTTTGGTCCGACTTGCCATGACCAAAATACTGCCAAACTGGCGAACTACAAAAACCCTTCTTTGGAACAATTTCCTCCGCCTCTCCTTGCTGCACAGCTTCATGTGCTCTGTGTTGTGGTTTGAGAGGGCGGCGCTTGGTGACGGCATGCCTGGATCCGCGATTGTGATTGGTTGGGAGGAAGCAGTGACTAGCATAAACCTACATGCTAGGCTACAATGAGAAGGAAGGAAAACAGGGTTTCTTTTTTATCAAACTTTTATCGACCCTCTTTTTTTCTATTGCGCCATACGTCTATCGATCGATATATATCGTTATTGAATTATCGCCCAGCCCTACTTTAAACTTTGGTAAATGTGTCTGGAACATGGTCTGAGCGCTGTCCGTGGTACTGGAGCAAAGTCACCATTTCCTCACCCAGCAGCAATCCTGCATCAGTGCTGAGATATCTGCTGCTGGACAGATTGAGTTAAAGATCAACAGAGCAACCAGACAGACAGACAGCAGTCTGCAGACTATCCATGAGTGACTGATTCAGTCAGAACCATCTGCTCATCATTAACAGACAGTGATGACCCCACCATGAGACCAAGATAAGGAAAAAGCCCCCCAGTACAATACCTTCTGGTACTCTGGCAGCCAGTTGGCCCTTCCTTCAAACGGATCTCCGGGTTTTGACATGTTGCTGAAATCTGCAAAGCCAGTGGAGCTGTTTGTCAAGCTGCTAAAAGAACCGCTCCCAAACGGGTCCAATGTGGCAAAGAGGTCTGAAAAAAACAAAACAAGGAAAGCAGGTTCTGGTTAAAGAAGCTCTAAGACGCAACAAATGGATGTTTCTGTCAGGTCAGTTCCTCCCTGATGATTGTGGACAAAAAGCTAAGATAAAGATGTGCTACAGATCATACACGAGTGTCTTGGCACCCACAGATGAGAACAAAGGAGCGTTTTGACTTTTATTTCACACTATTTTGCAGAGGTAATTTTAGAAGATTTGAAATGATTCACCACAGAAAATACTTGTTTATAAGATTCCCATGACCTGTAATCAATCTGACAGGTGCCTGATTCAAGGAGAACTAGTGGTCACTAAGGACGGGTATGCACTGTACGATATTTCCATTGGAATCAGCAACAGCTCAAACTGTACAACGAAACCACAGTTTAATACTACACAGCTCACCATGGTTTTCTTACACTGTATGACCCGACACTGTGATGCGATCTAACTGCTCATGCTGTACGTCCAAAGACCACACGCTGGACTCGGCAATCTGGAATAAGAACTCGCTTGTTTGCACCTGTGCAGTCCATGAGGTTCTGATAAAACAGCACAAAGCTCTGCTTCAACAGCAGGATTTACCCATCAACACCTTACGACGGCCTCCTGAATTACAAACATGTTTGATTTTCTCCTGGCCTTACGATTCCTGATGGGGAGGTGGTGGAGAGAAGCTAATCACCCCTCGTTACTCCCTGTATGCTACACGACACAGGACGCACCATGACGCACCAAGAGGAAAACTTGTACAGTTGCCTGGCCTAAAGCGGCTGACCAAGAGAGGCAGGTTGTAGAAGAAACCCAGATTCCAAAATCTACTCTCCAGGACTGTCACACAATAAACAGCGGACAGGATGGAAAATAAACGGAACGGCAACAACTGACTGCTAACATTCGGGGGGAGTAACGGCCTACTGGTTAGGGTATGGAGCATGTATCCCAGAGGTTCTGAGTTCAAGCCCCACTCCCACAGACTGCCACTCTGGGTCCCTAAACAAGACCCTTAACATTTGATTGCTCCCAGAGCGCCTCACAATGGCAGCCCACTGCTCCCCAAAGGGATGGGTTAAATGCAGAGTTAATTTCTCCACTGTGAGAAAGTTCAATTATTATTATTACATTTGATTCATGTTTGTAGTAATTTTATCTGGTAGTTTCAGGAGTCTGTAGAAGCTAAAAGCTGATTCTTAAATAAACATGTGGAGCAGGCATCATTCAACACAGAGCAATACCCTTCACAGACCGAAGAAGAAAGCACACCCTGTTTACAGGATCCTACCTGGTCCTCTGGGTTTCTGGTGGCTGGAAGAAAACGGGTCAGCAGCTGTAAAGTGACTGGTTTGCTGCAGAAGAAAACAAAACACAGCAGAATTCATGTACTGAGAGATAAATGAAGTATCACAGACAGCTGAACATACATTACACATACCTTGGAGGGTAGAGTGGCACTTTTACAGAAGGGATCTGATGTGGAAAAAGGATCCATCTTTGTTGTCTTCTTAAAAAAATCCTCTGATGAAGCCTTGAATGGATCTGCTTCTTTAAATGGATCTCCCTCAAAGGGATCTGGAGGGAAAATGTCGTTTATATACGTTACATGTTTCAACCAAACATGATCTAACTTCAATATGAATTCTATTTACTTCTCATCTCTGAGCCAAAACTACAGATTCAGGGACAGAATTAAATCTCCATCTAGGAGGAGATTCTAGTGTTCAGAGAGGAGGGTCTGATCTTCATTAGCTACACAGCAGACAGGAAGTGACCTTAAAACAGACGATTGAGTTCAAGCCGAAGGTTTTAATGTGAAGCCGTTTCTCTGAGGACCTTCATGCCTGATTCTCAATGAATTCCCCAACAATCAACAACTTCATTATAATCGTTATGTTTTGCCTTCGGTAGAAATGTAGCGAGATGAGGGCTCTGTTCAAATTCATGGGCTGCATCCTCCAAAGACGCGATCTACCTGGACTGGATCCTTCCAAGTCCATGAAAATAAGGAGACAGGAAGAGTTTTGGCTGTGAATCCAAACAGGTCTGCCCTTCGCTGGGTTTTACCGCCATAGGCTCTGTTGCTTAGCAACCCTGACAGTTGACACAAAAAGCAGGAAAAGAATGAATACCAAAGTTTCTAAAACTGTTTGTTTATTTATTTCTTTTTTATTGCAAAGTGAACAAATACATTAACAAGAATCCAGAGTGGAATAAAGGTTCCAACCACCGGCAGCAGGAACAGATAAAATCAAATGTAACTAGAAAAAGCTGTTTCGTAGAAACAGCAAAGTGGGAATGATTTTTTTATGCTGAATAAAAAAGGAAAAATAGATAAAGAAACTGCATAAAGGAAAAGAAGCAGAAAATGGCTGAAGAACATATGAAAATGTGATAGGAAGTAATCAGAAACTTAAAACAGCAGAAAACAGTAGAATCATCTGAAGATTTTGTAGGGTAGAATCATTTGGCAGAATAATGGCAGAAACACACTCATGTTAAAAGCAAAACATTTAAAGTTGATTAACCAGAAGAAATGAGCTTAGCAGATGCTTTATTACCGGGGAAATGTTGCAGCTTCATTAAGAAATGTGCACTTAGGTGTTCTGTCAACAGGCCTTGGTAGTGTAATTTGAAGAAATTGGTTGAGTTCGGGTCATAGCTACGGGCCATATGGCACAATATGGTGCCATATAGTGTGCATAAGGAGGAGGCTTTTATTTTGTAGAGTCCCGATAGTCTTATTTTGAAAGTCTACCATGGATGTGTGTCAAGGTAAGGGTCATGTCCAGCAGTGATATAGAATCAATTTCTGAATGTGAAATAACTGGTTTTCCATGTTATTGGGAGAATAGATGCTGTATTGGAGTGTAAATGGGAGACTTTTATTGTGAAATTTGCTCTGGGCTGTGTTTTGAAAAGGTCTCTTGAGTCTAATAGAAGCAAGCTGGTGGAGTTTGGGTCATAATGCTGAGCCATTTGCGTCAATTAATACACAACTATAATATAGAGGCTTTTATTTTGTAGGGTCCCTGCAGTCTTATTTTGAAAGTCTAGCAGGGTTGTGTGTTGAGGAAAGGGTCACACCTGGCAGTGATACTTGAATTTCCAATTGTTGAATTGTTCTTTTTACCTGTTAATAGGTCAATAGATGAAGTGGCAATGGGAGGCTTTTAATTTGAAATTTGCTGTGGGGGTGTGTTTTGAAAAGCCCCCTAAGGTCTAATTTCTAAAAAAGGGTTGAGTTTGTGGCATAATGTTGAGCCATATGCTGCAATAAATATGAGTATAATGAAGAGGCTTTTATTTTGTAGGGTCCCTTGAGTCTTATTTTGAAAGTCTATCAGGGTTGCGTGTCAAGTGAAGGGTCATAGCCAGTAGTCGTATAGCATCCATTTCCTAATGTTAAATCAGTGTTTTCTCCCTCCATTAGATCAATATGTGATGTATAAAGTGGCAGAGGTAGGCATTCCCTTTGAAGCTACGTTACCTTGACGACATAAAGCGAGCCTGTCAGTCACAGAGAGAAAAGCGCAGCACTATCATTCCTTTGCTCTCAGGCTTTTTTTAATGGGAAAAACAGCTCCAAACAAACGAGTGCTGAGGACAAACCGTAAATGGATTTAACATTTTTTTTCAGTCTAAGCGAGAGCTATCCCTTGTGTCCGACTGGGGTAACTTTCATGTCTGTAGCTCTTTCACAATCCTAATGGGAAGAGAAACAAAATGGTTTGTCCCATCTGCTCCTCTTATTGGATTACATGCAGCACCTCAGCTTTACTGAGCTTTCAGCTGCTGAAAACGAGTGGTGAGCCAAAACCATATAAGGTATTCAAAAAATTCTTTCACTGTGGGCGTCAGCTATCTCTCGGCTTCGATTGTGCAAACTTTCATGTTTCTACTAAAAACTATTTCGCCACGGTGACTATGTAAAAATGGGTTTTTTCTGAGTTCGAGGATTTTTCTCAGAATCAACATTTTCCTATGCCCAAAAAAGTCAGCTAAACAGCCAAACCATAAATGATATTGAAAAAATTCCTTCAATGTGAGTGCTAGAAGGGTCTGAAGATGTTCTATACCAAGTTTCATATTTGTACATAAAACAGTTAAGAAATGGGAGCGATACGAAAATATGTGTCGTTTTGGATTTTCGGATAAGATTTTTGGAAACTCATTGGATTTCTATTGGGGGAGTGTGGACTTCTTGGTGGTCTAGGCCAAACTGTACAAAAACTATAAATCACAGCCCAATGAGTGTTACCTTCCCAGAATCCTGACAAAAATTCCTACGTTTTGATGTAAAATTTATTTTACTTGAGTGAAAAATGAAGGAGTTAAAACAATTTGTTCGGAAAAATCTGAACAGCTCAAAAGGTAGAGCACTCACTCTGACAGTTGAAGAATTCCACCCATAGACTTACATTATAAAATTGAAAACCTGAAGATTTTTTATAAAATTTCAATCACAATTTTACAAACTTTAAAAGATATCAAAAAGCTTACTTAAACAGAAATAGTTGAATGTTTGTAGAATATTTTAAAAGTTGAATGGTGTTTCTAGCTGAAAGTATGATGAAGTAGTTAAAGGTCAAATATGGTGAAGTTTTAGCTGTATTTTCCAGAAATCTAAGAATTCTACATGCATTTCAATGGGACAAAAATATGCAGAAAAAGCTGAATATCGCGAAAACTACAAAAAATATCTTTACCAAAAGACATAGCAGAATTCTCCTGAAGAAGCTGAACGTTTTGATACTAAAATTGTTGAAATTGGTTGAAAACTGCGGGACTAGTTAAAGTCCGAAAAATAAAAAGAGAGAAACAATAAGTGGGAATGCATAAGCACACTTGATGATAGAAACCTTAGTCAGTTAAATAACCTGCTGCTGTCATTCTGCACATCTCTGATGTTGCTGCTATTTTCAAATATCCATTAATGTAAAAATGTCCATAGCTGGATATTGGTTATTTATTCTCCAGGTGCACAGTTTGATATTGTTAAAACCCTTTACAGTATTTTATTGCTTTTTTTTAACTTTTCCCTTTTATCTTATTCTTAGACATTTTTCAAGGTCCTCATTTGTGTGACCATTTTCAATAATCTTTCTGCTGCTGTAAATTTCACCATTGTGGGACAATAAAGAGATTTTCTATTCTATTCTATTCTATAAAAGGGCTAGAAAGATATAAGTAAATCTAAACAATGTATTTATAAAAAATATATGTGCAAAATCTCTTATATTCAATAACAAAAATACTTAGTTAAGCATATTGTAAAAAACAGCAATAAAACAATAAAAATCCTATCAGATTTATAGTCCCCACCCTGCAGATATATTAGAATCTGTCCTTAAATTCCAGCCAAACCCATTTACACAGTAACAGATAAAAACCTTTAGATAAATCAAACATTACCGCCACATATCTGACTCAATAACCTTTAAAACAACTATTTTCATTAATTTCACACGGAACTATTCACAGACTGGATTATATTAAACTGAACTTCTAATATTCACCACTGTTCGGTGCCAAGTAACCTTTCCTCTGAGCACGGAGCAGCTGGCTTGCTTGGTCTCGCAATGAACCCTGGGATATTCAAGGATAGCGAGGATACATTGGACCTGTCCGTCAAATCGGGCAAAAAGAAGGACGCCTTTTAAGGCCGCATAACAAGGAGTCTTGGAATCTGACCAGATCTCGGTGCCGCGCTATGATGTAATCGTCCATCGAATCTGGCCCTCTGAGGACGCAGCCCATTAATTCGAACAAGGCCGACTTTAGTGATCCTGTCCAAATGAACTATGGAGTCCATTAGAACCATAGAGTCCATTAGAACCATCGAGTGCAATAGAACCATCGAGTCCATTAGAACCATCGAGTCCATTAGAACCATCGAGTGCATTAGAACCATCGAGTGCAATAGAACCATCGAGTCCATTAGAACCATCGAGTGCAATAGAACCATCGAGTCCAATAGAACCATCGAGTCCATTAGAACCATCGAGTGCAATAGAACCATCGAGTCCATTAGAACCATCGAGTCCATTAGAACCATCGAGTGCATTAGAACCATCGAGTGCAATAGAACCATCGAGTGCATTAGAACCATCGAGTCCATTAGAACCATCTAGTGCATTAGAACCATCGAGTGCATTAGAACCATCGAGTCCATTAGAACCATCTAGTGCATTAGAACCATCGAGTGCATTAGAACCATCGAGTCCATTAGAACCATCGAGTCCATTAGAACCATCGAGTGCATTAGAACCATCGAGTGCAATAGAACCATCGAGTGCATTAGAACCATCGAGTGCAATAGAACCATCGAGTGCAATAGAACCATCGAGTCCATTAGAACCATCGAGTGCAATAGAACCATCGAGTCCATTAGAACCATCGAGTGCATTAGAACCATCGAGTGCAATAGAACCATCGAGTGCATTAGAACCATCGAGTGCAATAGAACCATCGAGTGCATTAGAACCATCGAGTGCATTAGAACCATCGAGTGCAATAGAACCATCGAGTGCAATAGAACCATCGAGTCCATTAGAACCATCGAGTGCATTAGAACCATCGAGTCCATTAGAACCATCGAGTGCATTAGAACCATCGAGTGCAATAGAACCATCGAGTGCATTAGAACCATCGAGTCCATTAGAACCATCGAGTGCATTAGAACCATCGAGTGCATTAGAACCATCTAGTGCATTAGAACCATCGAGTCCATTAGAACCATCGAGTGCATTAGAACCATCGAGTCCATTAGAACCATCGAGTGCAATAGAACCATCGAGTCCAATAGAACCATCGAGTCCATTAGAACCATCGAGTGCAATAGAACCATCGAGTCCATTAGAACCATCGAGTGCAATAGAACCATCGAGTCCATTAGAACCATCGAGTCCATTAGAACCATCGATTGCAATAGAACCATCGAGTCCATTAGAACCATCGAGTCCATTAGAACCATCGAGTCCATTAGATTCATCGAGTGCATTAGAACCATCGAGTGCAATAGAACCATCGAGTCCATTAGAACCATCGAGTGCAATAGAACCATCGAGTCCATTAGAGACATCGAGTGCATTAGAACCATCGAGTGCATTAGAACCATCGAGTCCATTAGAACCATCGAGAGCATTATAACCATCTAGTGCATTAGAACCATCGAGTCCATTAGAACCATCGAGTGCATTAGAACCATCGAGTCCATTAGAACCATATATATATATATATATAAATATAAATATATATATATATATATATGGGACACCGGTGTGCTGCTCCCATGCTGTCGGCCAGTGCAGATCTCCCAGCGGGGCTGTGTGCCGGAAAATCTCCGCTCGCTCAGCTGCTTCTCTCGCCAGACCGACCGATGCTCAGTTCACATGGCCCTTATAAATGTTAGATCTCTTACAAATAAGATGTTTATCTTGAGAGACTTTTTTACAACACATGATCTGGATTTCCTCCTGTTGACAGAGACCTGGGTGAAACCAGGTGAAAACAGCGCCTTCTCGGAGCTCCTCCCCCCCCCGGCTGTTCCTACCTCAGCACCCCGCGAGCTGCCGGTCGCGGGGGCGGCCTGGCTGCTATATTTAAGGAGAGCTTCAGATGCCAGACGATAACCACCAAATATTACTCCAGTTTCAAACTGCAGCTGTTTGTGATCAACCTTACCTGCCCTGTGCTGTGTGCCACAGTTTATCGCCCACCCAGATCTAATAAGGACTTTCTTCAAAGGTTCTTTAGTCTTTATCTTTACTGTTGTCACTGTCACAAAGAACAACGAAATTTGCCATTGATCGATCAGTGCATATGCTTAAAAACAAAAACAGAAATCACTGTCACCACCATTTACACATAATATAACAAATAAATAACAATAGCTGATAAAAACACTAATAAGAATAGTACAATCTCACACACATCATCCATGATGATTAATGGTTATTTTTGGTGGTTAATGGTTATTTTTGGTTGCATTTAGTTTTGTTATTGCTAAGAAACTTTCTTCAAAGGTTCTTAGAGTTTTTGTCTGAGTTTCTCCCACAATTTTATAAGCTGCTGATTTGTGGAGACTTTAATATTCATGTTTGTTGTGCAGCAAATCAACTGGCCAATGAATTCAAAGGCCTTTTAGTCTCCTTTCATCTCCCTCAATCTGTTAATGCACCAACACACGAGTATGGGCACACACTTGACCTTGTCATCTCTCATGGGCTTTCAGTTTGCCGCAGAGAAATAGTCTACGCTGCTATCTCAGATCACCTCCCTGTTGTTTTCGACTTTGCTGACCCATACCCCCCCCCCCCCCCAGTTAGTGGCATGAAACCCACAAACTGTCCCTTAGATATTATTCCAGCCAAGTTTTTGAAGGAGGTTCTGAGCTCTGTTGGGCCAAGTCTGCTTGTTTTTATAAACACTTGTCTTAGCTCAGGGTCTGTTCCAGCTGCCTTCAAACATGCTATGGTTAGGCCCTTAATAAAAAACACATCTTGATCCTTCCGTAATTTCCAATTTTAGACCTGTCTCCCACTTTCCTTTTCTTTCTAAGGTTTTAGAAAAAGTTGTTTTTATTCAATTACAGACACTTCTGGAGATAATTTCTATACTTGATAAATTTCAGTCTGGTTTTAGACCCCGACATAGCACCGAGTCAGCACTGTTAAAGGTGCACAATGATATTGCCCTGTCTGTGGAGGCTGGGAATCCTGCTGTGCTGGTACTGCTGGACCTCTCAGCAGCCTTTGAGACAGTCAACCATGCAGTCCTTGTATCTCGCCTAGAGCACATCGGCATCTGTGGCGCCGCTCTCTAGTGGTTTAGGTCATACCTGGCAAACAGGAGTTTCTCTGTCGTGATTGGTGATCACTGCTCCTCAAAGGCATCCCTGCCCTGTGGGGTGCCACAGGGCAGGGATGTTCTCTGCTCTATTTTGTTTTCTTTATATGCTACCTTTGGGATCAATTATAAAAAAACAAAACTAGTCTTTTCACTTATATGCCAACGACTTGCAGATATATTTGCCCTTGAGACCAAACGAAAACTCTGCATTCACTAAGCTACTGGACTGCATCACAGATATAAAGCAGTGGGTGACACAGACATTTTTGCATTTAAACGACAGCAAAATAGAATGCATTTTGTTTGGTTCTCCATCAATTTCAAATGTTCTCACCACAAACTCCAGCAATCTAGCCCCCCTTTTAAATGTCATGTCAAAAATCTCAGGGTAACATTTGATAATAGGCTCAAATTTGACAAACAGATTAGCTCCGTTGTCAGCTCAAGCTTTTTCCAGCTCAGTCTTTTGGCCAAAGTCAAGTCCTTTCTCAGTCGGCAGGATCTTGAGAAGGCAATCCATGCTTTCATTAGTTCAAGACTGGACTACTGCAATGCCCTTTACGTTGGCCTCAGTCAGGCATCAATTTCTCGTCTCAGACTTGTGCAGAACGCCGCCGTCCGAATTTTTAACAAACACGTCCAGACGTGAACATATTACTCCTGTGCTGTCATCGCTCCACTGGCTTCCAGTCCGTTTCAGAATCGATTTTAAACTTCTGCTGTTTGTTTTTAGGGCCATTCATGGCTTTGTTCCCTCTTACTTGTCTGAGATTTTTACTTTCCGCAATTGTGGCAGAGCTTTACGCTCCTCGGGTCAGCTTCTGCTAGAGGTCCCTAGGTCAAGACTCAAACAGTGGGGCGATGGTTCTTTTTCCGTCGCTGCTCCCAGACTGAGGAACAAACTACCCCCTGACATCCGCACCACTACTGACCTCAGCCTTTTTAAAAAAAAGCTTAAAACCCACTTTTTTAAATTAGCATTTAATTCTGACTATAATACTGTCTCTTAGATGTCCTCTTTCTGTGTGCTCCTTTCTATGCACCTCTGGAAGGCTTTTAATGTCCTGCAGCACTGCACTACTACAGCACTTTGAATTGTATCTTCTATGTTTTTATATGCGTTATGTATTATTTTATGGCTTTGTTGTAAAGCACTTTGGGTACCATTTGGCTATTGTAAAGGGCTATACAAATAAATTTGATTTGATTTGATTTTGATTTGACACTATGGAGCCGAGGTATTGCATTGCACCCATTGCACTGATTTTGTGCATTCTTTTTTGATGCAAAGCCTTTCAGAATCTATAACGCAGGGGCATCATGGAGTACAACTTTTCTACTTCTGTTATTTGCTGTTGTTTAACAAATAAAATGCATAACGATATTACAGCTTTCATTGATAACTTTCAAATTTAAAACATTGTCTAGCCTGTTAGGTTAAAAAAAAAAGAATCAAATCGTATCGTGGGGTATTCTTGAGTATCAAAAATAATCAAATCGTTGGGTGAGAAAATCGATACTGAATCGAATCGCCATGATGGGTGTGATTTACACCCCTAATTATAATCCCACTAAAAATCTGCAGTTCTCCAGACCTCCAGCATACCGCCGGGAGGCAGCGCTGGAAATCCCCGCTGAAAGCTCTCTGCTGTAGCCAGCCTGTGGGGGATTTCCTGCTCATTTATAAACTGTTCCTCCCTAGTTCAAAAAATGTTTTAGTGCAGCAATAGTCATCAGAGCTGCTCTCTGTTCCTTCTACATAACAATCCATTCTACCTGCTTTATTTAACCTTGGAGTTTGACTCCTTGATATTTATTTAATTTTCATCTGCAGAGTATCTACGGAAGCGATGACAGCTTGGAGGTAGAGTCTGTCTAAGCTTTACCGATTGGTTGATGCTCCAATGCCTGAATGCTCGAAATGCTCCACTGAATCCCTCAACTCTCTCCCACATAGACTTTGCATGTAAACCTGACGCTTTTGACGCCCCTAATTCCTTCAGTGTAGATTATTTCCTGGAGGATTTCCAGAACCCTCTGTCTACAATAACATACTAGTACACACAACAAAGATGATGTAGTCCTCTCAGGTCCTTTCCCAAAGATCACTGCATGCAGCCCAGTTCACTTCTGGGTCAGAGTAACCAGAAACCGTTTCCATGGAAACCCTTCATGGGACCTACCTGTAGATGATGATGGTGGAGGCTTTCCAAAGGGGTCGTTTTCAAATGGGTCACCTAACAGAGGAGATAAGGAGAAGCCATCAGCCAATGAGGAGAAACTGTAAGGAAAGTGGACAGGAACGGTCCAGATACCTTTGAATGGGTCCGCTTTAAACGGGTCTTCAGAGTGGAAGGGATCCGTCTGCAGATCCTGGGGCTGATTGTTGAACACCGTTGCTTTAGCTCTGAACAGGTCTTCCTGTGAAACGGGGACAGTTGGACGGTCAGTCAGTAGATCTCTACCTTCACCCGAGGATTCTCATAGTATCCGTTCCCTTCAGATTGGACCTCAGACCAACCCTCAGACCTGAGGCGGGATGACAGATCTTTGACCTCATGATGTTTGTGAACCTCAACTCAACTCACTGCGGCAGCTCCCACAGGCTGGTGCTGTAGACACAACCCCCCTGATGGGTCCAGGGCCGTTCTGGACCCAACCTTCTCCCAGCCATCCACTCTGACTGTTATGCTCCCTGGCTGACTGCAGCCTGAATTCTGATGAGCTCTACTGATCTGATGTTTTATCAACAGAGTCCTGAGTTCTTCCAGTCTTCGTTTTAAATGGGCCAAAGGTTTCTTTTTTTCAACTTGTCAGACTGGTTCTAGTAGTTTCTCGATCTCTTTAGATGTTCTCTCTGCATGAAGCAGATAATTGGACCCTTTTTCAACAGACCAGCATCTTCTGCAGAACCACAGGATGTGTGTTTGAGGAGTTGCTGCTTGTGCCAGAAGCCGATTAGGTCAACCCTAGGAGAGGCTGGAACCTACAGGTCCAGGTGGAGACGTCAGGTCTGGCCAAGCAGGGTGATTATTATGGTCTGTCCCCTCAGTGGCCTACTTCAGCTTGAACTTGGAGCAGCTCCAAGTTCAGCATTTAGTGACGTTCTAGAGAGGCAGTTATTTCCTCAGTTCTTATTTATTTACTCTGATTATTGTAGTGTTTGCCTAAACTTACAATCTAAAGGGGGCCAGTCAGAAAATAAGTCTTTTAGTAATTCCTACATAAGCTGTCGTAAAAGATCAAATCAAGTTCTCCTTACAATTAACATAGAAACACGTATCGACACAATGAAGATGAAGGACTATATAATCACTGCTGATGAGGCTCATATACAGTCCTAAAGGACTTCCAACACGTAGTCACAGTAACTGAAGAACCAGTGAAAATAAAAATGTTTATGGTCCACCAACTGAACATCTCTACCTGTTTCTGTTAGCGGTGTGCAGAACAATCCACCATGATGCAACCCAGTCTCATGGGAAAATGTACCCCCACTACGTTGGTCCACACTGCAAAACGTAGTGGAGGTACATTAATGGCCATTTTTTTGTGGTACTGTTACATTTCTTCTGCCTATACGCTTTCTATGGTTTTACGTCCTAGTCACGTGACTTTCAAGATTCCAGCTGGGAGAAGAAAAAAATATATATAGATGGCCGACATTCGCTCATTTTTGTGTGGAAAGATTAATGACTTGAGTTTGTTTTTGCATTAAAATGAGTTTTGATTACATTTCTAGTGAGAAATGTATAGTTTGTTGCCAGGATATTTACTCAGGGAATGTACATATTCACTTGCTTGTTCGTTTCTTGCAAAGATTCTTCAAGATAATGTGAAACTGTAACGTTTTGGTATAAACATGGCTGAGATTTCTCTAACTTTTAGTGGGAAAATCAATAATTTAACTAAATTGAACTAAATAATTGATTGCTTTATTTTTGGTGTCAGCTTTTGGTCAATATGCTAACCTTAAAAGGTCAAAGTGGGAAAACCCCCACTACGGGTAGTAGTGGGGTAGTAGTAGACAAATTAGCAATTAGAGGAGGCAATAACAATTACAATTCCTTTAGGGAAAGGGGAAGGAAAATCATTTATTAAGAGGAAAGAAATTGAAAAATGGCAAAAAAAGTGGAATGAAGATAAAAAAGGAAGAAGGTTATATAAAGTACAAAAGTCAGTATTAAATAGAAATATTAATGAGAGAAACCGAAGGGAAGAAATAATAATGATCAGATTAAGAGTAGGTCATACTTATTTAAATGACAATTTATAATTAATAGGGAGGAAAAATAATGATAAATGTGAAGGATGTGGAGAGATAGAAAATGTAGACGTATTGATGAACTGTAAAACATCTGGACCTGAAAGGAAGAAAATGAAAAGAGTTGAAAGGACAGGCCAAGAATGGTGTCTTAAAGGATTATTGGGAAATAAAGGAAATATAAAGGATATTTATAGATTAAGGAAAGCATTATTTATTTATCTTCAGAATACAAAATTAAAAAATAGAATTTAATAGATGTAAAACAATGTTGCTACACACTCATGAACAGTAGGTGGCGGTATGCCCGCCCCTTCCCTAGAGCCCGGTGGCAGCGAAAACATTTTGAATGGAAATCAATGGGGAGAAATTAATAAACTTCTGGTCCCAGTCGCTCTCTGTCATTGATTCCAGATATGCTGGTTGTGTATTTAAATTGTTTTTTGTTTTTTTAGTTCCTCTTTGGTCAAAATCTGGTCAAAATCCATCAATGGGACCGCACCAAACAGGAAGTTAAATGCATAAAGGATCCGGTAGATTTCCAAATAAAACACATCCGATCTTAACCCATTATCCTTTTTTTAACTAGTTTAATTAGTTTCTCCCGTATGCCATGACGTAATGCATTGATCTGAAAATCAACCTCAGACGCAACGCACGCAGTGGCGAGGGTTTGATCCGTCAGATGGAGTTAAATCACAAAGAATTCAATGTTGAATCGGGGCGGCAGCTAAATGCTAGGCGATGGGTAGCAGCCAAAACGTTGCAATTTTACATAATCCTGACGAGATCCGAAAAACCGTAGCAAAAACTAGCAAGCGGGTGATTATGTATGTTCACTAAGTAAATATTATGTAAATAAACCCTACACTTCTCGCTATAAATGTAATCAAAACCCATTTAAATGCAGAAACTGATTGAAATTATTGATTTTCCCACTAAAAGTTAGAGAAATCTCAGCCATGTTTATACCAAAATGTTACAGTTTCACATTATCTTGAAAAATCTTTGCAAGAAACGAACAAGCAAGTGAATATGTACATTCCCTGAGTAAATATTCTGGCAACAAACTATACATTTCTCACTAGAAATGTAATCAAAACTCATTTTAATGCAAAAACAAACTCAAGTCATTAATCTTTCCACAAAAAAATGAGCGAATGTCGGCCATCTACATATATTTTTTTTCTTCTCCCAGCTGAAATATTGAAAGTCACGTGACTAGGACGTAAAACAATAGAAAGCGTATAGGCAGAAGAAATGTAACAGTACCACAAAAAAATGGCCATTAATGTATCTCCACTACGTTTTGCAGTGTGGACCAACGTAGTGGGGGTACATTTTCCCATGAGACTGGGTTGCATGATGATGGTGAGGGACAGAGCTTTATACCCAACAAAAGCAGCGGCAGTAATATTAGCATCAGCTAGAGCCATGGAAACTGTAGAGTTGTGCCACCAGAGGACAAAGAAAGTTAAACCAATTCAGCCAAAATTTTCAATTCAATTTCATTTATTTCTATAGCTCCAATTCACATCATGTCATCTCAGCTCACTTTATAGATCCAGTTCAACCAGATCATCCAGTCAGATTGATTCAAAGTTTTCTATCTAAGGAAAACCAGCTGATTGCATCGACTCATTGACTCTTCAGCAATCCCTCACACTAAGCATGCTTGTAGCGACAGTGGAGAGGAAAAACTCCCTTTGAACAGGAAGAAACCTCCAGCAGAACCAGGCTCAGTGTGAGCGGCCATCTGCTGAGGCCCACTGGGGTTCAAGGAGACAGAAGCAGACATAGAAAAAGAAGCATAGATACAAAAGGCAACTGTCAACCAGCTCCACAGGCGGCCCCGTCCAGGAAACACACAGCCAGGCAGACGAGCTCCGAGCCAGCTCCCATGTCAGAGGATGAAGAGAGCACATCCAGTTAGTCACAGTCAGAGAAACAGGACTACACTAGAAAACAGGCCAAGCTCCAACATCTAGAAACAAAGATGTTGATGGCAGCAGCACAGCTGATATTTCTCTCCAGGATGGAGTCACAGCCAAACAGGAACAGACCAGATGAAGCTACTATGAGAAAAAGCAGAGAGAGCAGAATGTTAGAGATTGAACTAACAGATTCTGCAGAGTGGGAGAATAGAGATAGAATGAAGCAGAATGATGAAAAAGGGGTCCCTATGTCCTCCAGCAGTCTAAGCCTATAGCAGCAGAACTATAGAGATAGATCAGGATAACCTGAGCCACTCTAACTAGAAGCTTTATCAAAAAGGAAAGTTTTAAGCCTAGCCTTAAAAGTAGACAGGGTGTCTGCCTCACGGACTAAAACTGGTAGTTGGTTCCACAGGAGAGGAGCCTGATAACTAAAAGATCTGCCTCCCATTCTACTTTTAGAAATTCTAGGAACCACTAGTAAACCTGCAGATTGAGAGCGAAGTGCTCTGTTAGGAACATAAGGAACAATCAGATCTCTGATATCAGATGGAGCTTGGCCATTTAAGGCTTTATATGTGAGAAGGAGGATTTTAAATTCTATTCTGGATTTAACAGGAAGCCAATGAAGAGAAGCCAGGATAGGAGAGATATGATCTCTCTTTTTCATTTTCATCAGAACTCTGGCTGCAGCATTTTGGATCAGCTGAAGGCTTTTAACTACAGTTTGTGGACTTCCTGATAGTAAAGAATTACAATAGTCCAGCCTTGAAGTAACAAATGCATGGACTAGTTTCTCAGCATCACCCCTGGACAGGAGATTGCTCATTTCTGCAATATTCCTCAGATGAAAGAAGGAAATTCTAGAAACCTCTTTGATCTGGGATTTAAATGACAGGTCCTGATCAAAAATAACACCAATATTTTTTACTTTATTATCTGAAATCAGTTTAATCCCATCCAAATGAAGTGACTGACTAATCAACTTCTTTTTCAGAGACTCTGGTCCAAAGACTATAACTTCTGTTTTGTCTGCATTCAGAAGCAGAAAGGTAAGAGTCATCCAGGTTTTTATGTCTTCAGACATGCCTGTAATCTATGTAATGGGTTAGCTTCATCTGGATTATAGACAGATATAGCTGGGTATCATCAGCATAACAGTGGAAATTAATCCCATGCTGTCTAATAACTCTACCGATTGGGAGCATGTATAAAGTAAAGAG